TTTGTTTCTTTTCACATTCTCTACTTGGAAGTACTCATTAAAGTTCGTTCCAAGCACAAAAGTTTTTTAAAGTATAACAAAATAATTTCTGTACATGGAGAAAAGGGAAGAGTTTAAACAGGATCCATCCCAAAATGAAGAACCAATTTCCCAATTATAGTGATCTTCAAATTTTATTTTGTTTTTAAAATAATTTCTAACACATTTCTCAATCTATTGTGGTTTTCATAAAAACTTAGATTTTGATATAAAAACTCATTTTCAATACAAATCATCACATTTTTAATAGAAACTTTTAAAATTATATTTTGAAAATACGTTTTGTAGTGATAACGCACCTTGAAATTTGTTTGACGTATTTTGGATTGCGGGCGTGCTAAAGTCTATAAAGGACTTAGTTTTCAAGCACTTAAGATTTTACCTACTTGAACCGGCGTGAATTTNGAAGTGTTTCTTGCCTTGATAACATGTTTTACTCTCCGCCTTTCCTGATTCTTGTTTGGTCCGAAACAAGCATAATCCTCAACACCATCATCTCGAATGAAAGTTGAGTTACAACTCATTAAGGTCTATGTATTTAGATAAAATCAATCCTAAAAAATTTAGAAAATTGTTAGGTCTCGTTGAGTCGTAAATTAAATTATTAAACCTTAATATTTTTTTTTCAAATCTTCTCGGTATGATACCAAGTCAGTATCGAATATTTTTTTCTTAAGGAAAATTTGGAGCCTGGTTCTTTTTTTGTGGATTTATTTAGTTATAAGTCTATCAAGAAAACTTGTTTAATATTAAGTTCATTTTGATCTCTATTGTCTAAAATACGCTCATTAGTTATATTTAATTTCAACAAATTTAAACTTTAAAAATTTGACTAACATTAAAATTCTTTCTCTCTCTCTCTCTCGTATCTATTTATATCCATATATAGAATAAATCTATTTATTTCTATATCTCGTATGTGTGTGTGTATATATATATACACACACATAAAAAAAAATAGTAACATTAAAAAAATAGTAACATTTAAACATAAAAAATATTATCATTCAAACACAAAAAATAGTACCATTTAGATACAAAAAAAAAAAATAGTACCATTTAGATACATAAAAAAATAATAATATTCAAAAAAAAAATATTGAGTATTAATATTTTGAAAAAAAATAGTAGTAAAATGCTCAACAAAAATAGTAGCATGAACAGTAATATACCCAACAAAAATAATAACATGCTCACAAAAACAGTAACATGAACAGTAATATGATAAATATAAATAAAAATACACACACACACACACACACACACACACATATATATATATAGAGAGAGAGAGAGAGAAAGTATATCAGTTATTCTTTGAATTTAAATTTCAACTGGCATATATCTTCATTGATGGTAAATTAAGGAATAATAATTCCCAAATTAGGAAATTAATTTAAAATTGCTTTTAAGAAAAGATATTTTAGAGTTTTAAAAAAATAGTGGACTTAACTACTTATTAGTAAGATTAAAAATGAATTTATCCCCAAATAAGTTTTCTTGACGGACTAAACTCATTATAAGTCCGTTAAGGAGAACTCAGTCCCAATTTTTAATTTTCTTTAACGCGAATTTGTGAGTTTCATCGGCGTTGGACTCCAGCCCCATCAGCCCTTGGAAGCGATGACATCTTAATAAAAAAAACTTTTTAAAAGTGATATATACTGCTATATGTAATTCATTGTTCATAAGATTAAACTTGCGCAGCAGAAAGAATAAAATTCTTTGAAAAAAAATTATAAATTTGTTGTTCTTTATGTTTTACAAAAAAGGTCAAACATAAAAAAAAATATTTGGGAAGGTATTAAACCGTAAATGACATATGCCCTTGTGCCTTTTGGATGATAATTTTAGTTTCTTTTCACATTCTCTACTTGGAAGTACTCATTAAAGTTCGTTCCAAGCACAAAAGTTTTTTAAAGTATAACAAAATAATTTCTGTACATGGAGAAAAGGGAAGAGTTTAAACAGGATCCATCCCAAAATGAAGAACCAATTTCCCAATTATAGTGATCTTCAAATTTTATTTTGTTTTTAAAATAATTTCTAACACATTTCTCAATCTATTGTGGTTTTCATAAAAACTTAGATTTTGATATAAAAACTCATTTTCAATACAAATCATCACATTTTTAATAGAAACTTTTAAAATTATATTTTGAAAATACGTTTTGTAGTGATAACGCACCTTGAAATTTGTTTGACGTATTTTGGATTGCGGGCGTGCTAAAGTCTATAAAGGACTTAGTTTTCAAGCACTTAAGATTTTACCTACTTGAACCGGCGTGAATTTTTAAAATCGTCATTTTTCAAGTGAGATTTTAAAAATATAAGACTAATTCTAGATTATTTTCTTTATCTTTGAGATCGAGGATTTAAACAATTTTCTTGATAACAAGCGAATGGACTAGGAATTTAAGATAATTTAGGAAAAGACAATAATATAAATTATAAAGATGAATTGATACATGAACTATTTCACTTAAAATTAAACAAAAATAATATCCTTGGAGTGATGATTACAGTGTAAAAGAAATNTTTTGTTTTTAAAATAATTTCTAACACATTTCTCAATCTATTGTGGTTTTCATAAAAACTTAGATTTTGATATAAAAACTCATTTTCAATACAAATCATCACATTTTTAATAGAAACTTTTAAAATTATATTTTGAAAATATGTTTTGTAGTGATAACGCACCTTGAAATTTGTTTGACGTATTTTGGATTGCGGGCGTGCTAAAGTCTATAAAGGACTTAGTTTTCAAGCACTTAAGATTTTACCTACTTGAACCGGCGTGAATTTCTAAAATCGTCACTTTTCAAGTGAGATTTTAAAAACATAAGACTAATTCTAGATTATTTTCTTTATCTTTGAGATCGAGGATTTAAACAATTTTCTTGATAACAAGTGAATGGACTAGGAATTTAAGATAATTTAGGAAAAGACAGTAATATAAATTATAAAGATGAATTGATACATGAACTATTGCACTTAAAATTAAACAAAAATAATATCCTTGGAGTGATGATTACAGTGTAAAAGAAATAAACTCAGCTAAACATGGCAGAGGAAGGCTTCGGTATACTTTGTGTGTGTGTATGTGTGATCGAGAGACTCCTTCTCTGTAGATTATGTAGTTATAGTTGGTGTCTATTAATTGTCGGAGTCGTCTTTTTCGACTACAAGACGAATAATCATGGCCTTATTTTTAATCTCACCTATCGTGCACTAAATCATCTGTAATTATCGGCTCACGATGTCACGTCTCTTCATTATTCGATATTCATGAAGACATTATTTGGGTGTAAATAAAATCATATTTTATTTTATTATAAAAATATAATAAATTAAAGGTAAAAAATGTAATTAAAAAATTGAATAAATTAATATTTTTTTTTGCTGGTTGAAGAAGAGAGATACAGGATAGAGATTGAACTAGTAAAATTCTAGATACTATAATGCTTCTATTCTACTCCTTGTGAAGGCTTGGGTTGCATAGTCTTTCGTCACTTCTTGTCTGACCAGTTAGGGTAGTTCCTCTGCTTTGAGTACGCCCTCATAGGGTATACTAAGTCCCCATTTAGCTAGTCTGTGTGCAGCTTTGTTGGATTCCCTGTATGAATGATACATGTCCTAGTCCACATGTAGTGAAAGAAGAGTTTTGATATCCGAAATAATTGTAACCATGCTCCATGGGACTCACGTGTGGTAGAGTTGCAGTAAAGACCACTTTATGTGAGTCTCCTTCCAAAATGACATAGCTCCATTCTTTTCCATGCGTCCAGAGAGCTGTCATTCTTGCCACTAGTGCTTCAACTATGGTAGGATCAATATCAGAATCTTGCATGACTATAGCTTCTATAGCTTCTCCAAATTCGTTCCTTGCAATTGCAGCTAGACATGAACCATGTTGTCCAGTGGCTGCATCAATGTTGATTTTTAAGCCTCCCTCAGTTGGTCTGGACCAGCAACTATCAAGACATTGGTCTCTATGGCATAATTCCTTATTTCTTGATTGAGTGCATCTCACTTTTTGGGATTCCTCAAAGACCGGTCTTGCTTCATTAAAAATAGACATATGGTCCAATTTTGTCCCCCTAAAGATCAGTTTGTTTCTCAACTTCCAGATAGTAAAGATTACTGAGGAGGCAAACAACATTAGTTTGCTTTGATTAGGACTGCTGGAGCCAAAGATGAGAGTTGGACTATGCAGGTTATGGATCCAATCTTGCATGCTGAAGTGGGCGAAAGTTTTTGTTTGAAAGTCCCAATTGATAAACCAGATTGATCGAGCTATATGGTAGAGGAAGAATAAATAAGTCTCTGTCTCATTTGCTTGCTGGCAGAAGGGGCAAAAAGGATCAGAAATATGAAATCTTTTTGCAAGAATATTCCTTGTTGGTAGACTCTGGATAATATCTCTCCACAAGATCATTTTATGTCTTTCATGCAGTAGAGTGTTCTAAATTTTGGTCCAATCAACTTGATTGAGGTAATGAGATTCCTCATTCAGATTCCCTCTGAGAATAGTATATAGGCAAACTTTGTGCTAAAAACTCCGGAAGATAATGGGATCCAAGCCATGTGATCTTCTGCTTGAAAATTAGAGAGGTTGATCCTTTTGATTGCTTCAATGGTTTGCTCATTAAAGAGTAAATTTTTTTACCATACTTTGGTAAAAAAAATTACTCAAAAGGAAATACTCATGTTTATTATTGAAAAAAAGGAAAGAAATAATCATGTTCTATGCACGTGCCCAAACCTCCCTTACGTGCCAAAGCCTAACTTCCTATTCCTTTTGGCCTCTTGTCTGCCTTGTGCTTTGTTTATTCTGTTATTGGGGGCTTCCTTGTCACCCATCTGTCATCACAGTAATATTTTTCTCTCCTCTCTCTCTCTCTCTTCTCTCTCTCTCTCTATGAGAGAGAATGGAATCCAAAACCTTCAAGATGATCTAAATGCTCTTGTGTCACTCTCGCTCTCTCTCTCTGAAACCCTACTCTTTCATTTCCATGGCTACCCACCGCCACAATCACCGTCGCAGCCCCGAAGACCTCAGCCAAAACGGCGAACGCCACCACAACGACACCCACAACCACTCCGCCACCAAAAAACCCAAACTCTCTCTCATCACAGCCGAAGAACTCCGCTCCGAATTCGCCCACCACTCACCCTCTGTCGCCCGCATAAACAACGGCAGCTTCGGCTCTTGCCCCGCCACCATCATCTCCGCCCAGCAAAAATGGCAGCTCAAATTCCTTCAACAACCAGACGATTTCTACTTCAACACCCTCCAACCCTCGATTCTCAAGACCCGAACCCTAATCAAATCACTCGTAAACGCCGATCACGTTGACGAAATCTCCATCGTCGATAACGCCACCACCGCCGCAGCTATTGTCCTCCAACACATCACATGGAGCTTTTTCGAATCGAGATTCAGTACAGGTGACTCTGTGGTGATGCTCCACTACGCCTATGGCGCCGTGAAAAAGTCCGTTGCCGCGTACGTGACACGCGCCGGCGGCCATGTAGTCGAAGTAAAATTACCTTTTCCTTTGACTTCTAATGATGAGATCATATCTGAATTTCGAAAAGCTTTAGAAAAGGGTAAAGAAAATGGTAGAAAAGTTAGGTTAGCTGTGATTGATCACATAACTTCTATGCCTTGTGTGGTTATACCCGTCAAAGAGTTGGTAAGTATTTGTCGAGAAGAAGGCGTTGACCGGATATTTGTAGATGCTGCACATGCAATTGGGTGTGTTGAAGTTGATATGAAGGAAATTGGGGCTGATTTTTACACTAGCAATTTGCATAAATGGTTTTTTTGTCCACCAAGTGTGGCGTTTTTGTATTGTAGGAAGTCTGATAAGGTTTCCGATATGCATCATCTGGTGGTATCACATGAGTATGGGAAAGGGTTGGCTATAGAAAGTGCTTGGATTGGGACAAGGGATTATAGTTCACAATTAGTCGTGCCGGAGGTAATGAATTTTATGAATAGATTTGAAGGTGGGATTGATGGGATAAGGAAGAGGAATCATGACAAGGTTGTTGAGATGAGCAATATGTTGATGAAAGCATGGGGGACAAATCTTGGGTCACCGCCGGAGATGTGTTCGAGTATGGCCATGGTTGGATTGCCGGCTTGTTTGGGGATTTCAAGTGATTCTGATGCGTTGAAGTTGAGGACACATTTGAGGGATTGTTTTGGAGTTGAAGTTCCTATATATTTTCGAGCACCAAATGATGGGGAGGTTGATCTGGTAACAGGGTATGCTAGAATCTCTCATCAAGTTTACAACACAGTTGATGATTATTACAATTTTAGGGATGCCGTTAACAAGCTCGTTAACGATGGGTTTACTTGCTCACTTCTCTAAGAATAAAGAGGTGAGTCTTTTCATTCATGGAAATGGTTTACAAGGTATTTATTGTGGTATCATTGGCAGTTTCCCCTGTTTGTTATTTTCATCCTGTTGTTAGCGGAATAAATTGAAAGTGAAACCTATTTTCTGTTAACTAACAATGGCCCTGCCTCTAATATGCAAGCTTAAATCACTAACTTTCTGTGGTCAGTTGCTTCCAACCAACATCATAGTTCATTGGTGATGTTTTCATGATTTAATATCATGTCACCCGTCATTCTCGCTAAATCTAATGTTATTTCCACTATTCCTTTATCCTTGATTTTAAGATTCTTGCTTGATCTCAAAATTTCTAAAGCTTATAGTTATAAACGACTACATATAATTCAATGATCAATATATTTCTGAGGTTCGACCAATGCTATCATCCTTTGAATCTCCATGTGTGTTTAAATCCTTGGTTCAATCCTGAAAGAGTGCAGTTGTTATCCTAAATTGTTCGCATCTTGTTAAAGGCATATTTTTATTCATCTAGCTTGCAACTCAAGTGGGGTTGTCAAAGGGTCGTGTTTCTACGTCATTTAAATAATGTCGTATTAAAACTAGTTCAACCTGTACCCAATCCATTTATAATCGTATGTAGTGGTATCCATGTTGTATTGGATTCGTGTCTTGTATTAATTGTGTTTAGCCAATTTAAAATCATGCTGACCCAATATTTTAGGGGTCTTGTCGGTTCGCTCATTTGTTACCCGAACCCGTTTGTTAATCCAAATCTACTACTATTATATCGATTTTGTGTCAAATTCCTTTGTCATGTTGAGAATTATCTGGCTTAATCACAACCAAGGAAAAGAAAACTCTTTTAACAAGGTTCAAAGTATTGGCTGAGTGTGCTACCTCTTCTCTTCGAAGACGATACATGGTAAACTAATATGATGAGGCTTAGTCGAATCGATTTTGAACTGATTATGACTCGGAGGTATCGGCTAGAGTTGGAGTTAAATGGCTTTGATTTGGATGAGTCGGTCCAAGTTAAATCAATATGGTGAGACCCGATCTACAAGTCCTAGAGAGGGCGCAAAAAACCAAAGAAAAAGAGAAAGGGAGAAGAAAGAGTAGTCTATTTGCAAATTTAATCTAGTTTGTTGGATTCAAGAATGAATAAGTCAAATAAAAAAGGAATTGAGATGAAAGAAAAGCAAAAGCAGTGGNGCAAAAAACCAAAGAAAAAGAGAAAGGGAGAAGAAAGAGTAGTCTATTTGCAAATTTAATCTAGTTTGTTGGATTCATGAATGAATAAGTCAAATAAAAAAGGAATTGAGATGAAAGAAAAGCAAAAGCAGTGGCCCATATATGAAAAAATCACAAGCAATTCATCAATTTGTCAACCCTAAATTAGTGGCACATGAAACCCACTTGCAAGAGAATCGATCAATAAACCATAAATCACACCCCTTTTGCAATCAAAAAAACGGATAAAGTAATTGAAAGGATTTTCCAGAGAATCAATCAATAAAACCTAGATCACACTTCTTCTTCCTGGTCTTCTTCTCTTTATTGTTCCTCCTCCTCTTCTTCTAATACTTCTTTTGTCGCGCGCGCAAGCAATAATTGACAACCTTGACTTATCCAGTCTTCCCACAATAGCGGCAAGCCTCCGATCGAAAGTTTTCTCTCTCTCTCTCTCTCTCTCTCTCAAGGTTAGAAGATTAGAAACTCATAGAAGGTACAAGACTCTTTAAAGTCAAAAACACATAATTTATTATCCTCATTATAATGATAAAATTAATAAATTTCAAACAACTAAAGGACAATCGGTGGCAATCTAATAATTAACAAAATTCTATTTAATATTATTGTATTATTTGTACAGTTGTAATATATAAATATATATATATATACACACACCCCCACACACACACTAGCAATTACATATGCTTAATGCCACTTTGCAGTACTAAAATTTGAGCATTAATCGTGAAACATTTATATTTTAAATAGCCGTTTTTTTTTTCTTTAATTCTGCAATTAAAATTAAAGTGGATTGAGAGTAAATAATAGAGAGGTAGGTAAGAGAGAAGAGGGAGCTAGGTGTGGATTAATGTAGTTGTCCGACATTGAGGAGTATGTTGGTTGAATTGTTTGACATTGGGGGTCATGTAGAGAAGATGATATTTTTGGGTGGAAAAAATTTCTTTGAAATGAATTTTGTACTGGTAGATGAAATTAGATGATAATTGGATTAATCGGAACCGTTGTTGTGCTTTTATAAATGTGCAATTCAAATTATTAGCAGTAATATTGGTACAAAATTCATCCCAATTTTTTTTTTCCACTCAAAAATATCTTCCCTACACGAATCTCAATGTCAGACAACTCAATCAACACATCAATATATTCTCTAATGCTAAACAATCTCATCAATTCGCACCTACCTATCTTTTCTCTCTCTTTATTTTAATTTTAAGTTGGCTAATTGTTGTTTATGATATAAATAATGCAAAATTAATGTTTTATTTTTGGTATTGCATAATGTCTTCAAACATGGGGTTGTCGCTAGTATATATAAGTCAAGAGTACTTGTCATAATTTATATATGTTTTCATACAGAAATCAACATTGTTTGTGTTTTTAAATATTTGAATATTTATAGTTGAATCTCAAAATTGCATTAGTTTTAGATATGGAATTGTAATCTATGGATAAATATTTCCTGTAGCATTCTTATATTTTATTTTTACTATGTTTGCTGGTGTATTTTGGACATATTGTTGTTTACAATTTTTTAGAAGCACTTTGTGGCTATCAGCCGATGTGATGCCTTGTGCTGTAACCAGTTTGTATCATCACGACCTTGAACCATGCTTTTGATACGATATTACTGAGTGGTATATAGTTGTTATGGTTTGGGATTTGCACCTTCTAATATGAAATAAACCCATTTCCTAGCATGTTAATCTTTTTGGGTGAAGAAATGCAAGGATATTATATGTTCTGACATGGAACCTGACCCCCTAACCCCAGAACATAATAGTGACAGACACATGCACAATTGCACATGCACTCAAACACTAAATAAGGAAGGAAACGAGAAAGAAAAAAGGATGGGCGGACCGCCACAGTGGAGGGAAAGCACCACCTCATCATTTGGCATGACTGTCTGGACCATGAGGAGGCTAGTGGCTTAGCTGTACCCTCTTAACTCTCTTCCCTTTATCAAACTTGGTAATGCATGATTTAACGGGTTATATATTCTATCTTTTACAATTGTTCTTTTAATCCCCTTTTGGCCTTTGGGGAAGGAATCTCCTGGAAACATATTGCATCCTCTTTATAGTTGCTCTTGCAGCAATTTTTTTTTTTTTGTCACTTTGTTTATGGCAATTCTGTCTTTCCCGATCAACATGAGTTCAATAAATTCCTTAATTGGATGCCATGTTCTGGCACCTAGTATGGAAGGATTTGGCTCCTTCATATTGCTCTCAAACTGTCAAACATGCACTGGGTGCTCCAATGTACTAGCTCCTCTCATAGGGATTGCAGGGCATACCGAGTCCCGTGTTACACTGGAGAGGATCTTTTAGCAGCAATACCAGCTGCGGTTTCCGTACATAATATGGACGATAGAATACATGACCTTAATGCTCTCGTATGATCCCAATGATAAGAAGCCTCTCCTATTAGTATTACAAATCTCTTTTGTGGATTTAAAGGCTCTATCTCGCTCTCTCTCTCTTCAGTCATATGCTGTTTCTACCATCGCACAAAGATTGACATCTGTTCCTTTAACAAGGTGGATGCACCATCAAGAATCATGGTGTGTGACTTCGGGCAAGTTGTGTATACTATTCTAAGTTGCATGATGTGGAGGGAGAGACTATAATAGCCAGACATCAGTGTTGTTAGAATTGGACCGGACCGGTCGGTTTGACTGGTTGGACCGTGACCGGGGCTTAGACCGGTCCAGTTCTTGAGTTGGACCAACTAGGCAAGTGAACCGACTGTTAACCGTTAAACTTGCCGGTTTTTGCTAAAACCAGTGAATCGGATGGTTTATTCAGACTGGACGGTTGGATTGCAATGGTTATAAAAAAAAAAATCTGTTTCAGGCATTTTTGCCCTAAATCCCATCTTCATTTGCAATTTTGCATTCTTCCTTCGTTTGAGTCTCCGTTCTAGACTAAAGGTCTTCATCTTCCTCATCTACTTCAAGGAACAGGAGGGCTCATCTGCTTCAACGAACTGGAGTACAGGACTCATCTGGTTCGTCTTCGTCTTCAACTTGATCTTTGTTTCAACGACAATCATCTCTTTGTTAGTCTGCTTCAACTTGAACTCTCTCACTCAGCCTCTCTTTTGCTTCAAAGATGAACATCTGTTTGCTAGTTTGCTCCAACTTGAACTTTCTCACTCAACCTCTCTTCTTCAACTTCCAAGACCCAAGAGTCTAGTTCCAGTTTTCTTCTTCCTTCTTGGGGCAACAAATACGCAACGAAGGCCCTTAGACTTTGATCTCCTTCTCCATTCCTGGCAACAAACAGTAAGCCCACACTCTCTCTCTCGCGCTCTTCGACTCAGTCTAAGCGACAGTATACGTATTCTCTATATATGCCATGTTTTGAGTTTTTAGATGATAAATATTTATGGTAATTTTCATTTGAAATTGTGAATTTTGATGTGATTGAAATTGAGATTAAGATTAAGATTGTGAATTTTATTTAGATTGAGATTACGATTGACATTGTGAATTTTATGAATATTGATTTGATATTTGGCTTCATTAAATTTATGGTAAATCGTATGCATTATAGACATATTTTATATTTTTATCTAAATTATATATATTTTTTATTTTTTTATTACATGGCCGGTCCGACCAGTTGACTCAACAGTTGAACCAGTGAATCATTGGCCCAGTCCCCTTGCCGGTTTGATGACCGGTCCGGTTCTGATAACATTGCTAGACATAGTTGGAATAGAGGTCCACCCAATCAGCCCAAGGTTCAAAGTAT